TCCTGCCGTCGGTGGTTCCTTCGTCAGTGCCCCCGGCGGCTTTGGCTGGCCGGGGGTGGTGCCGGTTGCGGTCCCGGTCCCACTGCCTCCTCCTGATCCTCCGCCGTCGGCTCTTGCGGCGGTGGAGCTTGCCAGTGACAGATCGCGAGCAACACCGACAGTGGCATTAACACTACCAACAATGCAATCTATAGCAACCACAACTAATCCACCATCCAAGCCCACTATTGAAAGACCAAGACGATCAACAGCCAACTACAACAGAAGCTACGCACTCAACGGACAAGGGCGCAAGGAGGGACGTGACAGCAGGGTGACGGCCGAGTCCCGTTCAATGGACCAAGTCAGGCGGGATAACAGAGAGAGCGCAGAGGAAGCGGATGATGGGACGGACGGTGAAGGGAGCAATGAGTCGGAGAGCGACGATTGTATTGATCGTGAGAGTGCCGGTGAGAATGTTAGTGTTGTGCATAGGTTTCGTGGTAGCAAGTCTTCAGTGTACAATCCTCTGTTGGCTAGTCTTGATTGTTGCAATTCGTATTCCGACTCTTCTTTCACTGTATTGTGCCGTGGTGGTCATGGTTATGGACTACAGTTAAACAGTTTGGAAGCCATCTGTCAGCGTCTGTATAAGCCTAATTTGTGTGTACAGAAAGATAGTCAGATAATTGGGTTGAAATTGTTCAAGTAACGGCGTGTCATGTTTGGTGTGGCCAAGCTTGGCCGTTTTAATGTTCTAGGTGTAATGTACAGCTGTTATTTGTTATCACTTTGTCCTTCCTTCTTTCTTTCTCTTCTTTGTTCATTTCTCAGTTGCAAGTTTAGTGTTAGTACACGCATTCGTCAATGCTCTCGCTTTCATTGTTAAAATTCACACTTGTAAATTTCGCTGCTGTTGTTCTTAGTGTTATTTCTCTAAGCCGTGGAAGCACCAATCACACTCAAGTAATGGTTGAAAACAGGCACACGGCAACACACGTCACATGACGAAAATTGTAAAAACAATTTTTTGGATTGTCGGATCCGTAAAAACGGCCGAAAACGAAACAAACGTGACGGAAACGAGGCCAGCACACCGTTCCGACCAGGGAGTAGTACAATACCGGTATTGTACTACTCCCTGGTTCCGACTGTTTACACACCCAAATAATTTATCCGGCAGAACATTTCCGTTTTCAAATTATTCCACATTGGCCAGCGTTTTGGTTTTCTTCCGTTTTGGTGTACAACTTTTGCGTTTTGCTCCACGTACCGTGTAAATGAACCATGGATCCGGAAGGATTTCGTTGCGTTTTCGCCCCCAGCGTTGTCGTGTAAACGCAGCCTTATTTCTCCACCGTTTTACATTGCATGAATAAAGTATAATACAAATGTCGATTCAGAACTTTGCAGCCTAGAGAGCGTGTGTGGTCAGGCGTGTGTTTACCGCCATGCTGCCAGGTGTGTCTTTACCACCATATTTATCAACCATAACTTATAAGTACAGCTGCAGTGTCTTCAACTTCATTCTGTCGATTCAGCTTGTCTGTATAATTGATTGCGATTATTAATAATGCTTATAGCGTAACTTGTAGTTCCTTGGTCCATTTTTCTTTTGTATAAATTAATCCTTGGCTCAATATACACTGTATAATAATAAAATTATTTTTGAATTCCAGCACGGCGCCACTTTTCCATGCCGTGACGTGTGCAATCAGTAGGCTTGTCCACAAAATGTTGTCAATTATTTTTGAATTTTTGTTGGATTTTCGCACTTTGAATTTTTTTGGAATTTTGGCCCCATCAGGATTGAATTTTGGCCGTTTTTGGAGAACGACAGTGATGTCACATCAGGAGGGTACATGTGCTGCTCAATATATTACCAAGTTTGACATGTGAAAACAGTACTTTCAAATACACACACATTTGACCTTTCACCTTTAGACACCCATCCCCGAATTTGGAAGCACACAGACACACATGATAAGCAGTTTGTGGATTTTTTTGTTTTTTTTGGAACTATTGGGTACGAGTACTGTAAAAACCATGGCAACGGATCGAATTTTTTCTGCATTTTGGGGGATTTTTTGAATTTTCTTTAAAAACATTTTGACCGTTTTTTTCGCTTTTTGAATTTCAATTTTGGACAAAATAATTCGCATGATGACGTGGCCACCCTTAGTCAATCAGTGTGGCAATGACGCATTAATTAAGTGCGTCATTGCCACACTGATTCAACTGATTACATCATTTGATACAATCGCAAAAAATTTTATTGCGATTGTATCATATGATGTCATAACTGGCATAATTATAGCATTATAGGCTAGGCCAGCATGCAGGGCTAGGGGGCCGGGGTGGCAAAAATTCTGAAAGCCGGAAAATGATTTTTGTACCCATAAAATAATTAAAAAATTCGAAATGCATAAAACGGCTGGATCAGGCGAAGCGCCAGCACCGAAAAAGAGCCCTAAAAGTTGCACTTTTATTTTCCAAATCCGACCCCAGGCCCGGGAAATTTGAAACTCAGCTCAATATCGCCAAAAAGAGACTATTTTATCCCTTGCTCACAAGAGCTTCCCTGGTGGTATCGTCTTGTTCCGAGGCAATGTTTGGGAAGGTGCGGGCATTAGCTGCCCTAAGTTTCGCGGAAAGCTCCAAGCGACATCATTTTCCTCGCTTTCTCGCCAGAGTTTTCAAGACCGACGCAACTCGTCGTCAAAAAGTACTCAGCGTGGATTTCGTGCCGAATTCCGCCCCAAACAATTTAGGCTGACCTCTCGCCACCAATCGAACCCACTGATATGTATCTACCTATACACGAGCAATGGTTTGAGCCCAAAGAAGGACAACTTCACAACGAGCACACTTTCTGAGGGTAATATTTTCTATGTATATCAGTATTAGAACACCATCAAGACGACAAATTGACCAGCAGAAAGACAGAAAGTTGCACTACAAATACATGCATACAGCAGCTGTATAAACATAAATAATTGAACAGAAAACTATGTAACTGGATCCCACCAAAAACAGTAAAGCATCCCAAATAGTATGCGCATACACATATACATGAAGGAAGGCTATGTTGCCACCATACACTGGCTACGCACACGGACATCATTCTGGAGAGCTGAGCATCAGCGTGCGCACACACCCACACACACATCTGCATGCACGCGCGCACACCCACATGCGCATGCACACGCGCGCGCGCGCGCGCACACACACCCACATATACACATGCACGCGCGCACACTCCTGCCCTGTGCTGTCGAGCCACTGCCACAAGGGTTGCGTGGGCCTCGAAGGCACCGGAGAGAGAATAGGAGAACGCAGTCCCATAGATACACACGCACACACACACACATGTACACAACACGTGCAAGTACACACGTGGCAGCTTACTACAAGAGAACCACACAAGTTCACATGTGGGCGCGAACTGTATTCACAGTTGGTCATACTGTCTTGGGCATATGAGGGAGGAGCAGGAGAGTGAGTGATTGACTCAGACACAATGCGCTTCGACATGCTAGCACATGCACCGGTTTCGGACAGTGGCAGAACGGAGAGAGAGAGAGAGAGAGAGAGAGAGAGAGAGAGAGAGAGAGAGAGAGAGAGAGAGAGAGAGAGAGAGAGAGAGAGAGAGAGAGAGAGAGAGCACCAGCGTTCCAGCTCAAGCTCCAAATTTCTAGTTGCTTCTCCTGGTCACAGTAAACACAGAACAGGGCTCAGGCAGTGCCGAGGAAGTGCTTGTACTTGGTGCAGTGTCGTGAGCAGGATAAACTTCCAACATCTCTACACAGTGTAGCTCTTCAGGCGCACACGAAGACTCAGAAACCGGAATATACTTTACATGATGATTGAAAGTCCAGCAGCACAACAAAACTTCCAAGGACTAGTTTGGCACTAGCTTCCGTCTCATTGGCGTGCGCCCAGCCAGTTTTGGAAAGAAAGAGTAGACGTTCATTCCTCGTTCAACCTGCAATGAACTGGAGACAACACAAACCAACAAGACGACGATGGTTATCATCAGCTCATGTGTTCACCACCGCAGTGCTACCATTCACTTTCCTGCTCCAAATGCACTACCAGGCTGCATGGTACTACTGTCGTGGACATGGAAATCCGGTCGCACGTATAGCGGCCCCAGGGCGCTGGCCATGCAGCCGTAGCACGGTTTATCTTGCGCTGCTGATGGTCGCATTGGATCAACATGTGCACTGCATGCAACGTTCTGTACGTGCTGAGGGTGCCGGCCCCGGTCAATCGACTGGATTTCCATGTCCGCGACAGTACGATGTGTCGATAATAGACCGTGATTTGCATTTTCCAATGATTAGGACTGGTATTATTTCTATTTTTCACAATTAGAAAGAAAACAAGGGGCAAGATTTGATATGGATTATGTGGTTGTTGGCTATGTCAACATTTGAAAGAGGGTTGCAACCGTGATAGCACTGCAACATGAGTTTAAACCTACGTATTGCATGGTATACTCAACAGTTGGCGAGCAGAGAATTTCGTGCCGAATTCCGCCCCAAGGTTGTGCACAGCAAACAACTTGATATATCATTAGCCCTACCCTTGTGCTATACGTACCCGTTGTGCCGATCGAGCCTGAGCCCTCTACTCGACTCCACGGTCCAATGACATTCGGTCATCATGGCCAAATTCAAGTCACTCAAGTGTTGAGAAGTGTCTACGTCGTCGCACACAGCATGTGTCGACATACAAAAATATGTGTACGATAGAGAAAGAACTACTGAAGAGCAACCAACTGGTTTCAGCATTCTCCTTCAAAGGATAGGTCAGTGGCAGAGGGCCAAAGCCGGACAATAGTTGGAAATTCTCAGCGTTGAATTTCTACAGGCTGTAGATACCTGGAAAAGCTCGATTTCCCGCCACGGAAAATAAAAAAGTCTTGATTTGGGGTGCTGGCGCTTCGCCTGGATCTCAAGCTTGCAAGATTCTCAGCCCGTGCCCGCCTGCCCGGGCCCGCGAAATCCCCCTGGCCCTACGAGTACGACATGCATCGGGATAGAGACGTCGATCTACGCGCACGCAGAATGCTTGACTTTATATGAGGCGCAGAATGCCTCATTGTTGGCAGCTGCAGGGTGCCGCTGTGGAGACAAAATCAAAATAGTTTGTTATCCATGTTCAAGCCACAAATGCACTCTTCTTCGTACTCAGAACGGCTAGGGGCGCAGAGAAGTGCACACAGTCATGGGTATCATTGTTTTTCTCGTCGACACAAGTGCGTCGATGAATCAACGCACATACTCAGGTGTAACTTTGCTTGACATCGCGAAAGGTGCTGTGGAAACGTTTGTGAAGGTAAATGTGACTCAGTTGGAGTTTTACCTCGGCTGTCGTATTGTGAAATTTTGTCCGTTCAATCTGTGTCGTCCGTTTTGAGCAGATACGAGCAAGAGTACCCAACAACCTCGATCGATATATGCTGGTAACGTTTGACGAGCCACCATTTTGTGTAAAGGTAAGCACCACACAATAATGACGTCATTGTATATAAAGTACTAGAGATTTGAAACAGTTCCAGGTGTTGTAATTTGTAGTGGCATTTGCCTCGGACTTTCTGTCGCCATATGCTGCCTGCGATTTGTTGGAGTTTAGTAAAACAACCTTTAACAAAATGCGATATTCTTTAGCGGTACAGCAGCTGCAAAATACCGAGATTTGAGTTTGATGTTTAGCAAGCTCCACTGCTTCTCAACGCTATTTTCAGTACAGTCCTGGGCAAGCACTATGCCATACTGTAAAGACCAATTTCATAAACAAAATTTTTAAATTAACGATTTCACAAATTAAAATAGTTCGTTATATTTTGAATTCGTAATTCCGGTATGGAGATTGAGTACTAAATATGTCTACAAAGTGTTTGCAGATTTAGTACTCAATCTCCATATTTAGTACCGGTGTGTCGTGTATAAAAGCCGCGGCTTCTATGACTTTCTTGGTGAAATTTTGCAGGCTTCTATATGAGACAGGCTTCTACACAAGACAGGTATTTCTATGTATGTCAACACTAAAACCAGGCTTTTGTGTGATTTGATGGGCCCAAAATTGCGGCTTCTATTCAAGTGCGGCTTTTATACAAGGCTTTACGGTATGTACAGTCAACTTCGCCAATAACGACTGCGGATATAACGACAATTCGGGTATAACGACAGAATTACCATGCCCAGAGCAAAGTCTCATCTAACTGTAATTAGGGACCTTTCGCATCACGCGTACGGATACGAAACGAATGCTGATTCGTCACCTAGGTTCGAGGATTCGTCAGAGTCCCTGTGGAGAACTCGTTTTCACGAATGGAAGCCTCTTCATTCGTGGCGCGCTCCGAATCCGTCGGGTACACATTTATTTGGATAGGTACACATGTTTTGCCAGGTACACATTTTTTCCCTTGATTCCATGATCCATGCACGTGTGCGTGTAAAAACCCGTACGCCAAGCTACCGGCCGTATTCGTAGTTGCCATGCACATTTGCATGACGACTTGCGAAACCTGAATCTGTTTTCAACGAAACGATTACGAGCCGAATCAAACTTTCGTTTCGCATTCGATTCGTAGCGATTGCGAAAGGTCCCTATACATAGAATGAGACTTCGGGTATAAGGACACTTCGCGAGTAAGGACACTTTTCTGATGCCCCGCCGAGTGTCGTTATACGCAAAGCTGACTGTGCAGTTGGCTGGTTTCGTCATCCCGAAGTCACTAACATTTTATGTCGTTAACCCTTTGCATGCTGGATGCTTTTCTCCTGTCCACTGGCGTTCCAGTGCACTGACTCTGCTGTTGTGGTTTGGGCACATAGCTCCGAACAAAATTTATTCTCATTTCTGTTTGCCCTGATGGATTTTCATCATCCTGGGCTTTTTGGAAAGGCCAGGACTAAGAGAATCCATCCTGGTAGGTCTCAGCTCCATGGGCACACCAGGGACACTTCCGTGGCCTCTCCAAACTACTTCACCGCGTCTCGGAATGGCACAACAACTCTACCTCACTTTCTTGTTCGGCATCTTGCTCAACTTCAACCGACTTTCACGATTCAAACTGTGCTGCTAAGCTGAGATCCAAGCTCTTAGGGCTCTAGATTAGCCCGTTTTTAAAAAAAATTTTTTGCGAACACAGCCATTTCGTTCTTATTCGATGGTAGATCTACAGTCCATTTGAAAACTATAGACGCGTACCTAGGCAAAAACCGGTATGCCAGCATCTATACTACATAAAATCTGTGATCACTTTGTGCATAAATTTTTCCAAATTGGGCGTCTGTTATCCAATCGTTTAGAAACTATATGAGAGTAATTGTGGAGCGGACCTGAGCAATATTCCGAAAACTATTCTCAAAAAGTTCCAGCCAAATTTGAAATATTTCAAAAACCTTACGCATCTATAGTTTTGAAATGGACTGTACAGTCATGCATGTACATGATTTTACATACTGTAAAGCGTGAAATTTTCGCGGCGTTTTTAGTTCGCGTTTTCAGAATCCGGACAGGTTTGCGAGGTTTTAATTTTGCGATTGCAGAATGGCATTCTTGCTAAACCTGTGGCATTCTTGCTAAACCTTTCATCAAGAGTGCATAAACAAGAGTATGCAACTGTGGTTATGGGTCAGTGCGCGGCGCGCTGCCTTCATTACGTAACTTGCCTTCATCATGCTCTGAAACATGCATTCAAACTCTCAATTTCTCGCACGAGCCCATCCGTTTTTGCTCGATTCGTTCCAGTACCTACACAATCTCTGAATTCTGGCGCGTGAACTCCAGTTTCGTACGAAAGTTCATTTCAAACTGGAGGGAAAGTGCGGTGTTTGATTTTCCGCAGTGCGCGGACTGCAGCTGAATGATGTAATGAAGGCAGCGCGCCGCGCATCTGGCCCATAGAAAAGAGATCACAGTTGCATACTCTTGTTTATGGACTCTTGCTTTCATGGATCTCCTTTTCGCGATTCCCACGCGGTCGCGAATTTCGCAGAAATTAGACCATGGCAATAATTTCACGGTTTACAGTATCCATTGTATGTAGGAACGTTTGCTTGTGGACCATACCTGCATGTATCAGTACACATGGTACACGTGCGTTGCATGGTGACACATACATGTACATGTGTGCACACCTGCCAGTTCACATGTTTTGACTTACCAGGTAATTACAGGAATGCATCATCCAAACCTACATGTATTTATGCAGAGTGTTACTTCTGAGTGTACCTTATAGTGGACATTTCAGTTTCCGTTCTTACCTGCGAAAAATCCAGCCTAGACCGTTCTTAAAAAGTGATGAGATTCTAGCCTGGCCGTCCTTCGGCGCCCGACAGTACTGCAGCAGCACTTTCCTCCTGCCCGATAGCCTGTCATTATTCGCACGGTTGACTGTATTGCAACACTTGATTGTTGCAGGCGGTTGTGCACCAAGTTATGTCAGCTTTGGCCTTGTGAGGCCTTATCTGTACGCAGAGCTGGGCTCTCTTCACTTGGGGTTATGATTTTGTATTATTTTCTCGAATCTATGCTGCTGGTGCTGGTGCTGCTGCTGCTGCTTCTTTTGCTGCCACTGCTGCTTCTGGTGCTGCCACTGATGCTACTGCTGCTTCTGGTGTTGTCCCTGCTCTATCTCTTGACAGTCTGGTTGGAAAGAGCCCCTGTCAACGTTCACATCGGAGCTCAAGTACATGAGAGCGTCTGGAACTTCTACTACGGGTGTTGCCTTGAAGGAGACGTTTGATCTGCTCAACTTGCCACGCGCTTCATCCAATACGGATTCTTATGGAACTGTAAGACACCACCAGGCTGTTGTTCACTGCTGTGTGGAATGGGCAGTTTTCTAGCAGAGAAATCCGGTTTTGTTTGTTCTGAATTCTTGTTCTTGACTGTACACGAGTGCTGTGTGTGCGAGGTACTGGTATGCAGTGCGTTGTGAATTTGGTGTTGTGTATGGTGTCCACGTGGCATGCTCTACATGCATGTACAGGTAGACTCCCTCTAATTCGAATACGGTATAATTCGAACATTCCGTGTAATTCGAACTTTTTCGTCGTACCGATCTTCTGCAAGTCACTTCAAGTCAAAATCGAATGCATAATTCGAAGTACGAAAAGTGCGCCGGTTGGATAATTCGAACCCAGTCTTCGTACAGAAGAGCTGTTTACAGTACATTGGCTATGTCCTTTGAACGCTTATTTCGAAGTGAGATTGAGTTGCTATCCTTGTAATTCGAAGTTCATTCTTTTCTCCTTCTCTAGCCAAGAGTAGCTCAAAAATCGATCGATGGTCCGCTGCAGGATCGACTATAGCGTTCAAGAAACCCACCTTCTCTCGAAATTTGATTCAAGCCCGTGCGAGGCAAATTGCAAAGGTTTGATTGAAGACGACTTCTTCCTGGTGGCTGACTCTCTTCGCGGATTTCGATGGCCTTTCTTACCGCGCCAGCTCGTGCGCGGAGATGTTGGCGCACAACAACACTATTGTCGTAAATATTGTCTATGCCTTTGCTCCACTTCCGTTCTTCAGAACGACGTGCTGCTGTCCAACGGCCTTTCATGACGCCGATTGGGCAGCGCAGTTCTTTTCCGTTGAAATTGTTTCAGGAAAGCTGCAGTGACTGACAACTTCTTAGTGACTGACAACTTCTTCACTAGAAGATGTCAAAATGGTTTTGTGTCGATCCAGTGTTATGATGATCCGTTATACATGACCCGTACCTATGTTTCGTTGATGCAAGTAAAAATATGCAAAAAATATTCAGCAAGCGATTTCAAGCATTTTGACATACATATCAGTGCATGGGGCTGCATTTGGATAATTAGAAGTTCTGGATAATTCGAAGTCAGGGCCTGGCAATTTGAGGTTCGAATTAAAGGGAGTCTACCTGTATATACACTAGGGCTGAAATGATCATTCAGTAACTCCTAACGATCAACCAATATCATTAACGATCGATATATTGGTTTTATCGATTCTTGTCGGTCCTACTCATGTACCTCGAACACCAGATAATGAAGAAATTCCACAATGCCTTTGCTACGCTAGAAACTTGCCGCATCGCACTGTTGACATCTGGCTGGTTTTATCAACATGAACTAGAGTATTTTGTCTTGTTTCCAGAGTGAAGAATCTTGTCATCACCCTCTGGCAACTTCTTTCATCTCCGACCTCTCCCACAAATGAACCGAAAAGACAAAGCCTTCTCTCCCGATCTCTTTCAAAGCCACAAATCAATTTTGCTGCGCTTGAAAGTACATGATTGCACCCGTGTTCACTACCGGATGGAGTGCAAGGGCTAGAATACTGTTGCTGGTATGCATGCGTAAGAAATCATTAGCACTCGTTTCGAACACTAACGATTATCGATTGCACCCTTAGCGATCGATATGCGAGTTATCGGTATAATTGTTTCAGCCCTAATATACACTCATATCTCTTATCCAGGCAGTCGGGGACCATGCATTGCCCATAACTAGAAATGTCCGTAACTCTGAATCACATACATTTTGATGGGGAATGACCAGAGATCTGGCATATGATATCACTATTTCCACAAATGTTGGCAGAGGAGTAGTAATATTTTGACTAAAACTCGCCCAGAGGATGCCCAGTACTAGGCAGTATACCAAGTTGCCCGTAACTTTGAGGTCCAGACGTAGAGATATGAGTGTGTAATGTATATGCTATACATATCGGACAGTATAGTGATACTACATTCTAGAACACTCCTGTCATACTTGTTGTCTTTCTCGTCTCCGCCAATTCGTGGCATGTGTCCTGCAAAGCTTGCCCTATTTGCACCCAGCCTTCATCGCACGGGTTGGAGAGTGCCTGCCTTCTCTGCACGTCGAATGCACGTCTGTGCATAGAAAACGTGAGCTATCAGCTAAGTATTGTCTGTCTGTCTGTGTGTTTCTGAATGCACATTGTCTGGCGTATAGGGACGCAATCCAACGATACAGGAACCAGCGGTTATTATCATGCTTACCGACGTGGGGCGCATGCACACTAGCACATGCAGTGTTCTTGACCAGGTAAGTAGCACACACACACACACACACACACACACACACACACACACACACACACACACACACACACACACACACACACACACACACACACACACACACACACACACACACACACACACACACACACACACACACACACACACACACACACACACACACACACACACACACACACACACACACACACACACACACACACACACACACACACACACACACACACACACACACACACACACACACACACACACACACACACACACACACACACACACACACACACACACACACACACACACACACACACACACAGTGTACTGCCAGTGTATGCACCCCTAGTCCTTGTAGCCCCCCTCCCTGGCTCACTGCTCCTTGCCCATGCTAACCTGTGCCCAGGAAAGCCATCTGTTATGTTGAACATCCGTAGCATTACTTGAAAAGGAAGAAGAAGAAAAAACTGTAGGAAAGTTGGCAGAGCATGTCACACAGGACATGTGGCGGAGATTTAGGATGATGTTGTCGCGCACATATGCATCCATGCATGCACACATACACGCACACACACACACACACACACACACACACACACACACACACATACACACACACACACACACACACACACGCACATACATACAGAGGCTATTCCAAAAAAATCAAAAACATCCCAGTAGCAGATTTACAGCTGGCCTTGGTGAAGTCTGACCCAAAGTGCCAAGCTGGCGCCTTGGACAAGTTCCCATGACATCACTCTATTTGTACACGAGTCATTAAGGTCGTACGTCCATCAGGCAACAGCATTCATACCACTTTCCAGGGCGTCAAGGCTGTGCATGTCTGGGGCGCCACTAGTGGTGTTCACGGGTAGTCGGGTACCCGTGTTAGCCGTGAGGACCTCGGGTAGACGGGTACCGAATCGTACCTGAAAACCCGAAGTCGCAGATGACATGTAGAAAGAGTAGAGAGAGCTCCTCTACTCTTTCTCTAGAGAGGTCTACAGTGCACGTGTGCAAGTAATTCACGCATGTCTACCCAGTGGCAGTGTGTAAGGGAAGGGGCCGGTGTGCATTGTGGTCTTACCATGGGAACATTACCCGATCGGGTACCCGTGCTACCCGTGGAAAACTACCCGGACCCGATAACCGAAGAAAATGCTACCCGACTCAGCCCTAGGCGCCACATATGCACACGTTGGTGCATATTTCACCTAGCATAACTTAAGTACCATTGTTGTGTGGCCAATGGACTGTTTTTCACACTGTGCCACACAAAGTCTAGCATCAGCTAGTTTACCACATTCATGCATCCCCAGGGTGTGTGCGTGCGCGTGCATGTGCGTGTATAGAGTAAGCAGATTTGAGCTTCACATGCCTGGTCGGTTTAGCTTAGCATTTGTCAAGGCGAGAGTTAGCACCCTGGTTTGCAAGTGATGTTCACACGTACTATTTACGTTTCTTTACGTTTCTTTAGCTTCATCTACTGCTGACAGTTCACTAGTGTAGCTGTTTTACTTCAAAGTCGCTGGTTTCTGTTTCAAAAAACACCCTGTGATTAAACCGACCGAACATACCAGTAGTTGCTTTGCTCTTCCTGATGTGTATTTTTATGTCGTGTTTTGGTCTTCCAACAGCTTTGGTCCAGACTAAGGCAGATGCCAGTCTAGATGACATAAAGTCGGTGTGTTTTGTGTGCGTGCGTGCGCGTTTGTGTGTGTGTGTGTGTGTGTTCTGTGTGTGCTTCTGCATGCAGCTTGAGTTACCGATGTCAACCAGCCTGTTTGGGTCGGACCTGACGAAGGAGCCATTCCGGTGGGACCAGCGTTTGTTCACACTGATGTTGCGCATTCCTGGTCGTCACCCGTCGTTGTACGAGCGTGCCAACCAAGCCACCTTCACTGAGTTGGACCTGTCGTTGATGAGTGATGCTACAGGAGGTCAGTAGTGTCTGTGGTGCTCTTCTCCTGTCCCATGTGAGCTCTGATCTTATATTGCGAAGCAAGTTATGTCTTGTTATGGACAGTGATAGGGACTTGTATTGTATTGTATTGTATTTTATTATTTTACTTGGGCATTCCCAACAGACCCTAAGGTCTTCTTACAGGGTGCCCAAGATGAATGAAAACTTGAATGGAGTGACACATGTTCAAACTCACACTTCTCTACGTCAGACAGTTTTTCAGTTGTCATGGAAACACACTGGTATACCTCTTAAGACTCAATTAGAGAAGCGCGGAAAGGACGAAAGTGATCCAGCGGCGATACCAAGCTGACTGTGGTTGGCTATAAAAACCCTGCATTCGCCACGCAAAGTGGTCATTGGCTACCCCAGCCATGTATTGCTTGGAATAAAATAGATGACTGAATGAAGAATGCATAGGAAAGAGCATCAGAATGTGTATTATCTGTCCATAGCAATGGCACCAGTGTCGGTGGAACCGGAAACTTTCTTGCTAGCGTTCGATGTCATCACTTGCAAGCCGTATGCTCCTATACAGAAACGACAGTGGTTTTGTGTGCTTGTGCGTGCATGCATGTGTGTGCGTGCGTGCCTTCGTGTGTGTGTTTAAGTTTTTTACCAGATAGCGTTAGGTCTGTTGCCAACGGGCTCGGCTGCTTGAAGGTGTGATGTTGTACCTGTCACCTTTGTTGGTGTCAGGGTTCATATACTTTCTATTTGAAATATACGTATCTGTTGACCGATGGACTACTTTTGGCTAGGGTAACTCTTGTGTAATCAATGGTGCCAGCGAAGCCTTTATCAGATTGACTCTGATGTAGCCGCCCACACTAGCAGCAAGTATTGCATTCACTGGGGCAGGGGTGAATGCAGTTGGATCCCGGGACGGATGATACCTTAATGCCATCAATCCCTTTTCTGCACCTTGTCTTCGCCCACTTACTGAGTTGTGGTGAGCCCATAAGTGGAATCATTTCCAAGTCCACCCAGAGTTTGGGGATCTCAGAGGGTGTCGGCCGTTGGGCAGTTCAATAGCCAGTTGAGTCATCTTTCCAAGATTCCTTTTGTACCTCTCTCTCCCCTCTTTGGGGGAGACCCGCGTAACCAGTCATGGCAGTGAGCAAGTCTACTTGCTTGTAACTGCAGTAGCTAATAATATTAGCTTTGGACGTTAACTTACGACAGTTCTGATCTCTGTTATGGTGGTCGTCTGTCTTCTACCTTGCAGGCAAGTCTTACTTGGTGACGTCTCCTAAGGTCTTGCAGCAATGTCTCGAGTCCATAGCCTCGAAAGTTATTCATACTGGTGTAGTTCTGCGCTTTGAGAAGCAAGCTGGTAGTGAGCCTGCGTTTGCGCTCTGCGGCCAGCCAATCGCCGAGTCTGTCAATGGTACGTGTTTCTCTGTGTGTCTGTGCGTGATTAGAGTCTTGACCATTTGCCACTTTGCGGTGTGTGTGTGTGTGTGTGTGTGTGTGTGTGTGTGTGTGTGTGTGTGTGTGTGAGAGAGGGGGGGGGGGGGGGGGAGAGGGAGAGGGAGAGAGAGACACACACACAGATGAACATATTGATAGACAGACATGATCCTGCACTGTACTGTACTACACTGTAATGCTGATGTTTTGGACCCTGCTTTTTTGTCTCACACATTGTATGAAGGTGCTGAACATTTTTGCTTGCTTGTTTGTTGGATTTGAATTCGTATTGCTTCTCTGACCCGCTATAGGAACTTCGCTTCCCGGAGACGAGCCAATGGATCTGTTAGAAGATACCACAAACCCTGGTCCGGTGTCCAACGGTGCCCAGTCGCGACCAGATGGCGCAAGGACGATAGGCAGGTCGACTTCTCTACGAGATGAGGATACTGGCGATCAGGGACGACCTGACGCGTCATCTGGCGCGTCTGCCATGTCTGGGCCGACGCCTCTGCCGTGGCACTCGTGCATGCGTATGATCTACGTCAAGCACGACCCTCGCACAGTACCTCCACGGCCTCACTGGCCCATTCCCGAAGGCTTCTGGCAAGATTCCAGCATGGCATCACTGGTGAGTCTTGAAAGCCAAGCTGTGTAAACTGTGTAGTCTCAATCTGTGTTGGTGTAGCCTGTGCTGTTGCTTGTTTCTTCCAAGCACACAGGAAGCTTGTCTTTGCCCTGTGTCCGTGTTCTTGTTTGTCTCTGTCTGTTAGTGCCAAGTTGTATTGCTGTTTGGGCATGTTCGATTGGTAGAATCTGGATCTAGACCAACCGGATCCACTGGATTCGCACCCTATCGATTGGTCAGATCCGGATTGGAGTCCGACGGATGGGTCGGATCCGGCCAACCCACCTCGCGGAGCAGGGTTGACCGGATTCAACGAATCCTTTTGCCAATCAACCTTTTTTGGGCACGAAAACTCCACATTTGTTTGATTGGGCCTGGGAGGATCCGAATGGTCCAGGCAATCGATCGGGATCCGGATCCAACCAATCGAACACACCCTTCATCACTCTGATTCCAGAACTTGCTGCTGCCCGTGTGCTTTGTGATATTTCAACTGTCTTGTCTGGCTATGTATGTCCTCGTGCCATGTCCAGCCGGTGCGCAAAGCACACCCCATAATCGTCTTCTCATGTAACTCAAACCCCCCGCTGACGATAAATAAGCTGCCGTTCGATAAATATGAACTAGAACCGTCGCCGTTAACACAGTTTCTTCTTCAAAACAAGCCGCCCAATGTTTGCTGGCAGGTAAGTGCTAGTTGTTATTGTCCCAGTGTTGTCTGAAGCATTGTGTCACAGTGCACCCAACTTTCCCAGGTGTCTGTACTACTAATAGATGTACAGTATTATGCATACCGTATTTTACCGGTTGTAAGTCGACCCGGTTATAGGTCGACCCCCGTATCCGGAGGGCTCAGTTCTGCGTTTTAAAGTTATCACCCAACGAAGCACTATTAACGTCCCATTCCCTCCCAAGTCTAGTTGCACGTTATTTGGTATATCATCTATTATTCATTTTAAAGTTACTCTACATGTAGGTGAGATCCGACCCAAAGTACAAAGCTGGTGCTCCCTGGACCAGTTCCGACTATATCACTGAATTTGTTTGTGTCCGTCCCGCAGCATTCGCACCATTTTCAAAACAACGAAGCACCAATGTGCACTTTGAGTCAGATTTCGCCTGGCACAGCTGTCATGTACCTATGTTTGGGCATTATTTGCCAGTATTGCTTTACTGTGAACCCATACCACACACTATGCTGATGTGCTCTCTCTCTCCCTCCCTCTCCC